GGGAGCATGCCACTGCACTCCAGTCTGGGCAACAGAGTGAGACTGCAACTCAAAAAAAAAAGAGAGAGAGATTCCAACTGAAAAAGAAAAAAAAGAAATTAGCACATTAAGCAGAGTCATAAAGTAACCTACCCAAAGTGCTGTAGCCAAAACTATGAGCTATAAAATAAATTGGCTGGGCTTCATGGCTCATCCTGTAATCCCAGCACTTTGGGAGGCCGAGGCGAGTGGATTGACTGAACCTGCAGGTTTGAGACCAGCCCAGGCAACTTGGCAAGACCTCATCACTACGATAAATCAAAAAATCAGCCAGGCGTGGTAGCGTGGGCTGATAGTTCCGGCTACTTGGAAGGCTGAGATGGAAGGATTGCTGGAGCCCAGCAGGTTGACGCTGGGATGGCCGTGAGTATGCCACTGCACTCCAGCCTGGGTAACAGAGTGAGACTCCAACTCAAAAAATTAAAAAATAGGCCAGATTCAGTGGCTCAGCCTGTAACTCCAGCACTTTGGGAGGCTGAGGCAAGTGGATTGCCTGAGCCCACAGGTTCGAGTCCAGCCCGGGCAACTTGGCGAGACCTCATCTCTACAACAAATCAAAAATAAGCGGGGCGTGGTAGCACGCCTGTAGTTCCGGCTGGTTGGAAGGCTGAGGCAGAAGGATCACCGGAGCACAGCAGGTCGACGCCAGGGTAGCCGTAAGCATGCCACTGCACTCCAGCCTGGGCGACAGAGTGAGACTTCAACTCAAATAAGTAAATAAATCAGTTTTTTAAGAACTCTGTTTTCCATTATAAGTCACTGTCATTAATTTTTGTAGCTTAAATTGTCTAATAGCTACATACTGTCAACTGAGTAAAAAGGGTAATAGTAGCCAGCCACATAAATTTGCATCCACAGTGATAGAGTGTCTTAGTCAACAAAATCACAAGAACTGACTAACTTTATTGTTAACATATCAGTAGATTTGAAACTTTCTTTAGGGCAGGGCATGGTGGCTCATGCCTGTAATCCCAGCACTTTGGGAGGCCAAGACAGGAAGATCTCTTGAGGCCAGGAGTTGAATACCAGTGAGACCCTGACTGAAAGAAAGGGAGGGGGAAGAGGGAGGAAGGGAAGGAGGAACTTGGTGAGACCTCATCTCTACAATAAATCAAAAATAAGTGGGGCGTGGTAGCATGCCTGAAGTTCCGGCTGGTTGGAAGAAAGGGAGGAAGGAAAGGAAGGGAGGGAGGGAGGAAGGAAGGAAAGAAAAACTTACTTTAGTTTCTTTAGAATCATTAAATTCAGCAGGTCTTTAGTGTCTTTTTACTCTTTTTTTTTTTTTTTTTTTTTACTTTTTTTTGAGTCTCACTCTGTGGCCGAGGCTGGAGATCAGTGGCATGCTCACAGCCTCAACCGACTGGGATCAGGTGATCCTTCTGCCTCAGCCCTCTAAGTAGCTGGAACTGCAGGCACACACCACCATGCCCAGCTTATTTTTTTATTGATTGTAGAGATGAGGTCTCGCCAAGTTGCCCAGGCTGGTCTTGAACCCCTGGACTCAGTCCTCTCACCTCCACCTCCCAAAATGCTGGGATTATAGGCGAGAGCCACCACGCCCAGCCTTCAGGGTCTTTTTAATAGGCATCTTGGAAAGATTTCAAGGATTGTGTATGATCACCATGTCGATTTTAAAACTCATCTCAGGACATCTTTTTGGCTCACTGCAAATATTCCTGTAAAAGCTTTAAAGAGAAGTTTTCAGTTACTGCTTACAGAAAAATCTTCTTGCTTCCATAAGCTACACTCTTAAAATAAGCACTTTTGCCACTTAATTCTGTAGAATTACTCTCTGAAATTCATGAAACAATATTCATGTGCATCTTTTATTTTCTTTAACTTCCTATCATAGTTTCAAAGAATTTCAGCACCTCTCAATTCAGTCACAGGCTGTGCACCCTACTGTGTTAACAGTAGACGGCATCTTATGGAAGAACATCTTAGGAGGCTGTCCCAAGCCAGACTTCTTTACCAAGCTGGGAGAGTATGGTTAGGGCAGAAAGCTGGACACCTGCTGACATCATCTCTTAAATTGAGGGAGGGAAAGGAGACTGTTAAGATAAGTCATTAGCTGTAACCTGAACATAGGAATGGACCTCATGAGTATGCCCAATTCCACGGCCACCTAAGGGCTTCTTGAATGATGGGGTCTGACCTCTCACCACACCACTCTTCCTCAAGCCTGCAAAGTATCTTTTATACTTGGAAATGCATCTCTGCTCTGATCTTTGGGCTCACTGCTGTGTGCTACCTGTATGATGGCTTCCTCTACAGGTGGTTTTAATTTCCTGAGCATCACCAACTACAAAACTAGGGCAGAGGTGAGAGCAGACTTCCTGGCTGCAATTCCTACTACCTGGGATTTCCTAAAGAAATAGGAAAGGGAGTGAGGGCCTGCACAGTGAAGTGTGCGTGGAAAAGAAAGAGCTTCCAGGCTCTGCTTGTCTGCTGAATCATGGCCCCAAAACAAGGAAGTCTCCTGATAGTCACACAAGGAAAAAACAAGGACAGGCAGGCCGGACATCGTGGCTGTAATCCCAGCACTTTGGGAGGCTGAGGTGAGAGGACTGCCTGAGCCCAGGGGTTTGAGACCAGCCCGGGCAACTTGGTGCGACCTCGTCTCTACAATAAACCACAAAAATTAGCCGGACGTGATGGTATGCGTCTGTAGTTCTGGCTACTTGGAAGACTGAGGCAAAAGGATCGCCTGAGCCCAGCTGGTGGAGGCTGCAGTGGCCGTGAGCATGCCACTGCACTCCAACCTGGGCAACAGAGTGAGACAAAAAAAAAACAAGGACAGGAAGAAGCCTAATTCACAGTGTACAACTCACTGGTTGTTATTCACAGATATGTACAGCCATTACCATCCCATTTTAGAACATTTTCATCACCCCAACCTTGTACGCTTTGGCTTTTACTTCCCCGCCTACCTCACAGCGCTGGGCAACCACCCCTAATCATCCTTATCTCTTTGGATTGAGGTACACTGGACATTTAATATGAATGAAGTCAGGAACTGTGTTGTCTTTGATGACTGGCTTCTTTTATGTATCCTGCATTCAAGACTTACCCATGTTGTAGAATATGTCAACATTTCATTCTTTTTTATGGCCTAATCATATTCCATGATATGGATGTTCCCACATTTTGTTTATCCACTTGTTAGTTGAGACATTTGGTTTGTTTCCACCTTTTGGCTATTATGAATAATACTGATAGAAACATTTCTGTACAAACATTCATTTATCTTGGGTATATATCCAGGAAGGGAATTGTCGATAATTGGTAACTGTGCTTCATCATGTGAGCCAGGCTGTTTTGAGCACAGCATTGTATTTGCACACCAGCAATCTATGAAGGTTCCAATTTCTCTGCATCCTCAACTTGCTATTCATAAGACTTAGTCATTTTAGCCATTCTAAGTGGGTTTGAAGTTGTATCTCTGTAGTTTTGATTTGTATTCCTTTAGGTTACGTATTGACCATTTGTATATATGTCCTTGAAGAAATGGCTATTTAGATCTTGCTCATATTTGAAGAGTTTTTTTTTTTTTTAATTAGTGTTAAGTTTTTATATAGGCTAGATAGAGGTCCCTTTCCAGATAAATAATCTCCAATTATTTTCTCCCATTCTGTGGGTTGTCTTTTCACAAACTTGTTGTGTCCTTTAAAGCACGTGTTTTTAATTTGAATGAAGCCCAATTTATCTTTTATTGCTCATGCTTTGATAACATAGCTAAGAATCCATTGCTTAATCAAAATCATGAAGATTTATCCCTATTATTTTAAGTTTTAGAGTTTTGGCTCTTATATGTCCTTGATTCATTTGAGTTAATTTTTATATAACGTGTAAGCTAAAGGTTAAATGTCATTCTTTTACATGTGACTATCCTGCTGTGGCAACATCATTTGTTGAAGACCATTGGTCTTGGCACCTTTGTTGTAAATCAGTTGGCATGATTTTATTTCTGAACTCTCATTCCCTTTCATTGATCTATGTGTCTGTCTTTATGCCAGTATCACACTAGCTTGGTTAACCTTGCTTTGTGACAAGTTTTAAATCAGGACACACGAGTCTACCTACTTTGTTCCGTCTTTTAAAATTAAGATTGAAGCCGGGCTCGGTGGCTCAGCCTGTAATCCCGCGCCTTTGGGAGGCTGAGGTGAGTGGATTGCCTGAGC